ATGTGCTAGAACGTGCTATATGCTTTATAAACTTCGTATCATTTATTTCTCACAACCTTAGGAAGTTACTATTGGAACCCCATTTTAAAACGAGGAAGTGGAGGTTAGCACACTTGCAGAAATGCATATAGTTAATAACTGGAATATTTGAAATTTGAAGCCAGTTTTGTCAGATTGTCAAGAACATGCATGTTAATCTTGAAATATTTCTCTTTCCTGTTAAAATATGTTCTAAGGCAGAGGTTCTTAACTTGGGTCTAACGGTTCATAAACTTAAATGGGGAAAATCACATCTTTATTTATTATTAAAATTTATTTAAATGTAAAGGTCTCTTAAATCATGACTTTGGTATCAAACCACAGTACCTCTAACTTCGTCACTGATTTTAAAAACATATACAATTTTCGTTTTACATTAGAGTTATTTTAGATATCTCAAAATATTGTTTATGCTTATTATTACTTTAAACATTTTACTAGTTAGAAGACTTGCTGCTGATGGCTGACAAACCAGCCAACTCTCAGATAGCTTGGCTAGTGGCTGCTCATCAACCCAATAGTGATGCCACATTGTTGGTGACTCAGGTGTCTACACTGTTTTACAGTGTTCTTGTTGAGGATTGTTTTTTATCAATATGTAGACAGAAGTGAGTCATTGTCATTGTTTGTTAAAGTTTTGTGGAATAATATTTTTAAAATGGCAAAATAGGTAGACATAAGAAGGCATGAAATTCTGATACATGCTGCAATGTGGGTATGCAAAGTGAAATAAGCCAGACACAATAGGGTAAATATTATGTGATTCTACTTGTATGAAATATCTAGAATAGACAAATTCATAGAGACAAAAAGTAGATTATAGGTTACCAGGGACAAGAGGGAGAAGGGGATTGGAAGTTATTGCTTAATGGGTACAGAGTTTCTGTTTAGGGTGATGAAAACTTTTGCAAGTCGATAGTGGTGATGGCTGCACAACATCGTGAATGTAATTACTGCCCCTGAATTATACACTGAAAAGGATTAAATGGCAAATTTTGTGTTTCATCTATTTTACTACAATAAAAATATATGTAATTTAAGAAAAAGTTTTGCACAATGAGATAGTTTAGATGAGAATTCCTAGCTTTGTGTTAAGACACTGGAACTATCTGAGCTACCATGTACCAGGCAAGTTCCAACACTTTGATGGGAGAGAGAATTGTTTAAAGGAACATCTTATTTTTGCTAAAAGATGGGAAAAGGATATTATATGAGTTATGTAAAGTGTTGTAAGTTTTGTAGGTAGCAACAGTTCTTTAGTTTATTTGATTTTCTATTTGTATTTCCTTTTTGACACTGTCTTTGATATAAAATAGACAACTGATTGAACAACAGTTATGGTGTACCTAGCATTTTTGACACCAAGAATAGATCATTTTTTATGTCTCCCCTTTGTATGGTAAAATTATTTTCAGTAACAATAATGAAATGAAATTAATAATCATAATGATCAGAAAAGAAGTGCAGGCAGTGAAATGTTCTTTTATTGGATTTTGAATATGTATTCAGGCCAAATAATAAAAAAGAAAAGTGTAAAGAATAATATTTGAAAATTATATTACATAATTTTTAGAATAAAGGAAAAACCTATATATACATGTTAGTGTAGTAATGAGTAATAATTCTCCAGTTCAATAGATGTTCAAAAAGAACAATTAAGAATACAATTTAATTTTAAAATTTTTATTCAGTAAAATATTTTTCAATGAAAATGTTCATATTCATTTTACATATGAACTAAAATTTGTACTTACCAAACAAAAAAAAAATTACACCTCACAGTTTGCATTGTTTCACTAATTTAAGTTTTAAACACAATGGAATACTACTTAGCTATAAAAACTAATGAAATACTGCCATTTGCAACAACATGGATGGACCTTGAGAGAATAATATTGAGTGAAACGAGTCAGGCAGAGAAAAAGAAATTCCACATGTTCTCACTCATTGGTGGGAGCGAAAAAAAAAAAAAGAAAAAAGAAAAACAAACAAACTAATTCACCCACATACACACACACAAAAAACCTGGGGGTGGGTGGGGGAAGAAGATATAACAACTATATTTTCATGAAGTTGTTACAACAAGTAAACGGAAAGGACATTCTTGGGGGGGAGGGGAGAGAGGGAGGAGGGAGGGAGGTGGGGGTGATGGGCCATAATAATCATATACAGTGTATATTGACAAAATAAAAATTTAACAAAAAAAAAAAAATAAATTTGTTCATCTAAAAAAAAAAAAGAACATATGCATTTTTTTTTAGTGATAATAAGGAAATAAGGTAACTTACTTTTGAAAGTTCAAGTAATGTTTATTAATGATGACCATAATAATCATATACAGTGTATATTGACAAAATAAAAATTTAACAAAAAAAAAAAAATAAATTTGTTCATCTAAAAAAAAAAAAGAACATATGCATTTTTTTTTAGTGATAATAAGGAAATAAGGTAACTTACTTTTGAAAGTTCAAGTAATGTTTATTAATGATGACACAACTATATTTTCATGAAGTTGTTACAGCAAGTAAACGGAAAGGACATTCTTGGGGGGGAGGGGAGAGAGGGAGGAGGGAGGGAGGTGGGGGTGATGGGCCATAATAATCATATACAGTGTATATTGACAAAATAAAAATTTAACAAAAAAAAAAAAATAAATTTGTTCATCTAAAAAAAAAAAAGAACATATGCATTTTTTTTTAGTGATAATAAGGAAATAAGGTAACTTACTTTTGAAAGTTCAAGTAATGTTTATTAATGATGACATAATGACACATTTAGGCAGACAACCTAATAAGCCAGTTATCAAGAATTTTTTTCTTATTTTGAGTTATATGGGCTTAATAAGATTTACTTACGGTAAAAACATCACCAATAAAAAATTTTACCATATTTAAAAAAAAAAAAAAAACTCTAAGAGGCAACAGAGAATGGAACTGAAGTTAGTCAAGTTCCATTTCTTTTTTGTCTTTAGTCAGGGTACTTTCGTTCTTTATTTAGAATCTATTGTTTCAGAGTAGAACATACCTAGTACTGCAGGGGTTGGAGAAATGAACTCAGTCCTGAAATGTGCTGGTGGTGTGGTCCATGCCATGGCAGTACCCTAAAGGAGTCAGCTTGGGCTGCCCTCTCCAAGTTGGCAAGGCCACTGGAGGGAGAGCTGCCGGCAAGGCCACAGCTACGAGCACTTGCTGCAACCAGAAGGGCTGCCTGCCTCGGCTTTGTGGCCTTTGCCTTCTCTTTCGATATTTTGGTTAGCGTGGCAGTTCTCTGAATTCCCAAAAGATTATAAAAATAACACAAATAATTATGCAGTCATTGAACTAAACATTCCCACAGAAGATCCAAGTAAATCGGACAATTCAAAATTATCCCCTTATTTTCCATATGAACAGTAGGTTCATTCCATTAGAACATAAAATCAATACACCCCCATTAGAATTTAAATGTTAACATTGTTCCTTTTAGCAAATTTGTACTTACATTTAGCAATAGACATAGGTCATATGATAGTACCAAAACAAAACTGGCTTCCCCTGTCCTTTTTGAATTATTAAACTTGCTGATGTAATAAAAAAAATAGTAGCCAAAAAACCCCTGCAGAGAAAAATCTAAATAAAAGGCATTGTCTCATGCTCTACTGTACTCCAGCTGCAACACGCTGACAGCCAGCAGAGAGAGAACGTGCATACTGATGCATTGAGGTTTCCGTCTGTGTTTTTTATTTTTGCCGGCTTTCCTATCCCTCTTTCAAGGACCTGCAAACTCGACTGGAGCTTGTCTCCGGCATGCTGGAGATTCCAAATTGTTACAAACTCATTCTAGTATGAGCTAAGGCTGGTAGCTGGTAGTTGAGTCCGAAATGTCCGGGGCCAACTGTTTAACAGGGAGTTCTTTGAATTAGTTTCTTAATAGAATATAATGTTTACTAAAATTTAAGTAATAGCAATGTGCTAATCTGAAGCTTACAGATATTATTAAAACTCAACAGTAATTGCAGCGATTGCAACATAGACAAAATATTTTTTGTGGGGTAGGGAGGAGTATTTTGTTACTGACATTATTTAGAACTGTTAGTGCATGAATATAATAAAAAGCAGACTAACTTTATTTGATTTTATTATTGTTTTAAAATTGTCTACAGGAGATGTACCCTTATTGCCTGCACCTCGGAAAACTGCTCCCAGGGCCTCACCCTTGATACTCCACTGGTACACATTGTGTTCTTACATTATTATTTAATGAAAATCCTGTGTATTTAAAAAATATATTCATGAAAAAATGGTGACAGTATCAAAAATGTAAACCGTTATTTCTAGGAAGGCACAGGAGGCAACCAGACAGCATGTGCAGCAATAGCTGAATTTTAGACAAGTATTGCTTCTAAACTGTACTTAAATTAAATTGGTGTCTAACTCCTGGTTAAACTGTAAAATTGTTTAAACTTTGAACAAATTATAAAACCAGTTTGATTTTTCCTAAGTGTCATAATTCAAAAAGATCTTGTATTTTTAAAATAAACATACAATTTCTTATTTTATGTAGATATATCAAATTTCTTTAAAGCCATGTAAAAAATTATTCAAAAAAGTGAATTAAATAAATATTTCATTTTAGCTTTATTTGTTTTATATTGTAATTAAGCTGAAATGTCAAAAATAAGAAAGCATGATGAAAACTATGTATTTTAGTTTATTTGCATTAATGAATATAATGGAATACAGAAGCTACAGTGTTTTTAGTGCAGAAAAATTCTTGTGAATAGAAATATAAAGCCAGGCAAATTGAAAGAGCACCTCAGGACTGTTTACTCTGAAAATGCATCAAAACAGTGTTTGGGTATATCTGTCTTTTTGTTTGTTTGATTTTTAATGTGAGAAGAGAACTCAACTTGAAAAAGCTAGGATGCTTACAGCTGTGTATTGGCTAATTCACTGAAACTTTTTTTTTTTTCTTCCGTGCAGACAGATTGCTTCCAGAAAGCCAAACAAAAGAAGGCTGAGTTGGAGAAGCTTTAGTGTAGCCAGGGGCCGTGGAAATGGGGAAGGTGGTTTGCGGACAGGAACTGAAGAAAAACTGGAAGCAATTCCTTTGTTAAAGATGAAATGTATTCTTTGCGACTGGCTGGTTAGCTGAGCTGGTTAGAGTGCCGTGTTGATAGCACCGGCCAGATGCCCGCCCCTCCCCCGCTCCCCCACCAAATGGAAATTGAGTCTGGAGTAGTTGATATTTCTTTAAACATTTTAAAGTAGATCATCAAGGAACAGCTGCCTTGCCACTTCTCTTCAGTGTGGATTGGGTGAAACTGCACACATCTCTCAATATTCCAGCTCTTTTTTTCTGTTCACCCTGCTCATGCTGATGCTAACAGAAAATTTTTATTTTATGAGTTTTCTTTGGAAACTATGAAGGTCATTGATGTTTTGGAAACGGTAAGTTGGTTTTTTTTTTTTTTTTCCTTTCCTAAAAAAAACTTGAAAGAAAAGCTCCTCACTGCAAAGATGAAGCTTCTGTGATGTTTAGCAATGCATCTGGTTTTGGTAACTTAGTGATAAAAGAGGCTCCCACACTCTTGTCATTCCTTGCCCTTTACGCCAGCATGCTCTGGCCGCGCAGACATTTCCAACAGCTCTGAAAGTCAACAGCCATCATAGTCATCAGAAGTTACCAGAAGCAGAGCTGTGCATCATTGAACTAAAAAAGATTTTGTCAAGAAATAGGGGTATAAAATGAAGTGCTTGTCTATTGTGTAGAATTTGTCTGGCTTTCAGGAGAAGTCTAATTTTTTTAAAATGAAAGTTTCATGTTTGGAGCACTTTGGAATAAAGGTTTTTTTTGCAGACTGGGCTTATCTGGTAGACATTTTAACCATAGAAATGAAAAAACCTTTATTTCTTTATTTTTAAAATTTTTCAAATTGTTTAATCATTTTCTTTTTGACTGAAATGACTGTA